ACCAAATGCATCATATACGAAATGTAACTCCAAATGGAACATATACTAAAGAAAAAATCTAAAGCTGTTAAACTTCTGTAAGTGAAACCATGTGCCTCTGAGATAGACAAATACATCTTAAAAAGAAGCAAAGTCAAAGTATCCTTTAAAACAATTCAGTAGGTAGGTCCAGTTTCATCAAAATATCTCTGTGATCTTGTCAATTTGGTGTGATTGAGAACCATGTAGGAGTCATAACCTCTGGGAGTATCTGTTATCTGCAAGAAGTTTTCAGAATGGTGTAATGAGCTGGAAAGACTCACCCTGAAAGTGGGCAGCAGCGTACCATGGGCTGGGGTCTTGAACCAAATAAGGAGGAAGTAAGTTGAGTATCAATGTTGAGCTCATGTCTCTGCTTCCTGACTGTGGACACAATGTAGGCAGCCACCCCATGCCCCCTGTCATCGTAGTCTCTGCTCTAAAACAGTGACCCAGATTAAAACTTTCTCTCCTTAGGTCGCCTTTGTGGGATATTTTTGTCACACATACAAAGAAGGAAAAGTTACTAAACACTATCCACAGATGTTATTTAGAACAACAGACACACCAAAGCCTTGTAAAAAAATAAATTTAAATCATGCATTTGATAAAGACTTGTGGCTAGAATATAAAAAGAAGCCTGTACAGTCAACAATAAGAAAACTAACAACCTAATAATGAAAAAAAACTTGAACAGAAACTTTGCTGAAGTTTCTATTCATGCACCATATGACAGACACTCCAGTGACTACCAACATGACAGTGGTTCCTTAAGATTAGCCACAAGACATGGTCTCTGTTTGTGTGAGTCCTCTTAAAAACTGACAAAAATGGCTTAGTGTTGCATTTTTTTCAGAATATATCTCCATTGTCAAGAGGCACCTGACTGCATTAGGTAGGGTTTTAAATAAACTAACGGGAAAATATTCAGTGTCTTTAATCATTAGAGATTTGTAAATTAAAGCCAAGACTGAGTTATCACTATTTGTATGGCTAAAAGGCCATCAGGTCTTGGCAAACATGCCAACAAAACACAACTCCCATGTATCCCTGCAAAATGGTACCCTGTTTGTTTCCCTTCACCCAGAGGCAATACACCTCTGGATATCAGTGGATGCATGAAAACAGTGACCATACCAATGTGACTTCCTGAACATGCATGTGATATCAGAGATTATTAGGAAATAATGATGATGATGATGATAATAATAATAATAAATAGTTTAAATTTTTAGAAATTATGATTTGTTTATATCTCAAAATTTCCATGTAATATTCGAAACTGTGAATAAAGAGGGACTAGCCACTTTACATTTTGATACCTTAGTTTCTTAGAAAGTTGGACATTACCTATGAGCCAAGACAATCATTAAGTTATAACTTTTATCAATAGATGAATGAAACCAACTGTCTCTGCAAATATTTGTGCACAAATGTTCAGAGAAACTTCATTTTCAACAGCCAAGGAAAGAGATTCTACAAAGTGTGAGATAAACACTCAGGCACGAAAGGCAAAACATTATTGCTACAAGCTACAGCATGAATGATCTCAAAATAATTATCCCAAGTAAAATAAAATAAAAAGGCAAGACATAAATGCTAAGAGTCTATTGGTCCACTTACTCAAAGATGTAATGTATACTAACAAAACATTGCTATTTTCCTAATGACATTGGCTTTTCAAACAAGGATGAGAGGGGGCGTTTTCAAAGACCATGAAAACATTTGGTAAATACAGTGTCACTGGAGTGTGCCTATGTTAAAACTTGCCAAGTTTTACATTTTAAACATGAACAGCTTACTGTGTGCCAATCATATCTCAGGATATACCAAACAAACAAAACTACTGCCGGGGGTGGAGCCAGAATTCAGAAGACTTCTTGTTTGGGGAAAGCAGTTAAAGCAGCAGCTTTTTTTTTCAAAGCCCTGAGTTTGCTTTTAAAAGTGCAGAGTTGGCATTATTCCGACAAAAGGAAAAGCAGCAAGACAAGAGCCATTGCACACCACAGAATAAGACACAAGCAAGGGCCTTAGCTGAGAATGAATCCAAGCAGCCACAAACTCTTTCTAGCATTTTTGGGGACTATGCATTTCACTACTGAATTCCTAAGGACACCATTTGAACATTTTTATGAATGAAAATATTCTTTTGCTTGAATGAACCACCACAACGTGCCATTTAAAAGCAGTAGTCCTGGGCTGTATTTTCCCAACACACCACTGTACCGTTCCTAAATGTTCACGATAAGGATGCTGCTGTGCTCACCCTTATGTGGGAGCAATTTGGGTAACAGTATAGAGTTGGGTTCAGCTTGTGAAATGAGGCTAATCAGTAAAATAACCAGCTTCATGGGAACCTGAGGAGTGAGCCAAGAGATCTCACAAAATACAAAAAAAAAAAAAGTCAGAAGTAAAAAGAAACAATTCCTGAAAGCAGAAAGAAAAGGAGAAGAAAGAAGAAATGTTGGATTTTCAAACAATTCTCATATCCATTGAAATTGCTTTTTGTACTATTAGTGTGACCTGACTAGGAAGCCGGTCTTGATGGCTTCGCTCCTACGGTGGCTACATCGTACTCAAGGAAGATCTGATAACACTCGTGGATCTTCTTTTATGCAGTGAGTGATTTAATTTTAAAGTATAAGAACTGTGCAAATTACAAACATTTTTTTTCAATTTGTTCAAATAATATGACACTGGCTATTGGCTAGAGACAGATTTCTTGATTTAATGTTAAATATCCTCACATTTCTGATCTCTTTTTTACTCGGTGATTAGAAAATGTCTATATGTGGGTTCTGCTCAAGAAAGATAGCAAGCTTTAAATGCAGCTGCTCTAGTTTATATCCAAGAAGAATCTCAAAGGCAGCCACACCCTACCAGTATATACCAGGACCCGTTTCCCCCTTTACATTCCTCTCTGTCCACTAGTGTTGAGGTCTGGCAGCTTCCCCATGAGAGCCGTTCTGAGGAGAAGAACAGCAGAAGCCCATCTGGAATTCCAAATCTATGTTTCTAAGGAAGAGTAGTTGTGATACAGGACAAGGACAACACGTAGGGTGTTTGGGAGATCAGTTTGCTCTGAATGTCAAGAAAGCCCAGAATCACTTTAGACAGGTTTGAGTTGGCAAGGTGAGAAAGCCTTTGAAACAAACAAAAATAAATACATAAATAAAATCCACAAGTCTAAGAAAATTCATTATTGGTTATTCAATGCCTTCGTTGGATTTAGTATTAACAAACAATTTATCCAAACCTCAAAAATGAGGTAGTTTCTATCCATGTGAGCTTTTTAAACAAGATCACGAGGGGCGCTCTTGATTTGGTTTGAGGATCTGCCTGGTATTGTTGGTCCTTGGCAGTACGTTGGAGAACTCAGGTCAAGGACCTCAATTCACCAAAGATGAAACGGACAGTTAAGAGCTCGAACAAGGACTAGTAAGACAGTCAGTACCGGAAGCTCCATGGCAAGTCTCCTGTGTTTCTGAGTAAGCCTTCTTCATTGTTCCTATGTGTAGATTGGGAGTCATGTTTCTGTGAGAACTGCTCACCTCAGGACAGGACGTTTTCCTACTGTGGCTTTCAGTCCAGCACAAATTGCAATCACTTGGGAGCAGTTAAGCCCAACTCCTCTGGGAAGCTGATATGTACTTCACCTGCAATTTGTCCGTGGCCACAGGAACACCTGTAGGTAGGTCTTTCTATCTGTGCTCTATGGCTGAGGAAACCTCTATGGATCATAGCCGGTGGGCGCAAAACAGGCTTATAACTAATACCACTGTTTCTAGCATGTTCTACCACAACCTAGGTGGGTGTCTGAAAAATTCCATTAATGACTCAGGGAGCCCTTGCCCCTCAGTCCCAGCCTGCTCTGGGCCTCTCGGGAGCATTCATACCTAATACTCTCTCTCCGAAAGCATGCTTCTGCCATGAAAGTGACCACTAACACAGAGATATGAAAACGAATTTCAAAACCTAAGTAAAAGCAAAGGAAGGAAATCCCCCAATTTGGACAAGTCTCCATAATCAAAACAGAGGAAGGGAGGCTATCTGGCGATAATTCCCGCCAAGAGTATTTGGGCATTTTCCCAGAATTACCAAAGTAATCCTATGAAAATCACATCTATGTAGTTGAAATTATAAACAAGCTGCCCAAGTGGCGAGTGTTAATTAAAAGTTACCTGACTCTCCAAAGCAACCCAAAGTTCACTCTTTGACTTGACCCTCCCTTGACCTTTGCTCTAGTTCCTAAGAAGATGCTTCAGGGTCTTTCTGCAATACTGTGTATTTAATACTGGCAGGATCCTTCTAGGTAGCCTGAGAATTTCCACTTTCTTCCTGGCCAGGCAAAAACTGTGTGAAGATTCGGAGTGGGTGTGGCAAGAATCAATTGTCCTGCAACCAGGCAGCCTTGCTCCACACACCCACCCCGGGCCCACCTGGGAAGCCCACCTGCTTTGCATTTTTCACACCTTATACAGCCTTCCCTGAACACAAAGGGACTCTGGTGACAATGCCAGATGTTTATGGAGTGTTGGAAGAGCTGAAGAGAGAATGAGTGTGCCATCCTCCGAACCTCTCCCAGCAAAGCAAAAGAAAGGGGCTCAGCAAAGGACTGCCCAGAAGGGAAGCTGGTTGCGAGCTCCCTGGGAAATGACAGCTCCGGAGCTCAGCCACCGCCTTCTCACCATACTCTGCCCAGCTGGAAGAAAGACCTGAGCGCGGGCGAGAAGCCGGGACAGGGTCCCAGGAAGTTCTGCCTAGAGTTTGACCCTGCCTGGATGGCACTAGATGCCAACCCGCATTAGCTTCAATCCTCCGCCACCTGTCCCAGGCTTCCGAAGGCTGAGCCTCCCGACAGAACTTCACGGGGGTGGGGGGGCGCTTCCCAAAGCGACACTACTGCTCCAGCAGAGGCTAGGGGAAAAAAAGGGGGGGGGGGCGGGAGTCCAGGAGGGCTGGAGACCCTCAGGCTGTCCTACCTGTCCAGCGACACAGAGGAGGCACCAGGTGCCACCGATCAGATGAGCCAGGATCCCTGGAGGCCAGCGCTCCTCCAGCCGCGCCATGGTCCTGGCCGAGACTCGGAGCGGTGGCTGCGGACCCCTGGCTGACAGGCTCAGCGCCGGGGCCGGTGGGCGCGTCTCCGCAGTGACCGCACAGTCCCGCTTTGAATGGGAGCGCCTGCGCCCGGCTGGGGGCGTTCCGCTCGAGTGGGGCAGTCCCCGCCCGACGGCTCGGCGACCCCGCCCCAGCACCCTCCTGCTCCTCCCTCCAGGGTCGTCCCCCGCAGGAAAGCGCGGTGCGCGTCCGGAAAACAACCAGAGAGGCTGCTCGCTGCCTCCTATTTTCTGGTTTCCAAAGGAGGGCCGCTTCGCACCTTGCTCGGATTTGGAGCTCCTCCCTGTCCGCCCCGAGAAGGAATAATCCCCCTGGGTGCTGGCGTTTTCCCTGGAACCAGTGATTGGGGCCAGCCCCGGAGAGCGAGCTCACTCCCCTAGGTTGGTGCTCTGGGGACCCCAGCTTCCTTGTGGGTTGCGACAGACCCTTCCAAGCCATGCTACCCTTAAAAAAAACTTGCGACCTCACAGAATGGGACCACGTCCACCTGTGTCCCCAGGTGCCACAGTGATTCTACCATGGTTTATTCTGAGACTTACAAAGGAGAACTGGCTCCTGAGCCCCTGGCATCCTCAGCAGTTGGCTTCCAATGCTCCGGAGCTGAAGCCAGCGCCAAGCAGAGCAGTGAGTCCAAGAGATGGGATCAATGAGATTAATTTTGTTGGTTGTTTCTCTCCCTTTATTTGGTTTACACCGCGTTTGAATTACACTTCAAGCTTACCCTGACGCAAAATAAACTTTGAGCTCTATTGTGGTATTTTGCCACCAGGCCCCAGTTCTTTTCTTCCTGAAAGCTCCAGAGCCAGTCGTCCAAAGTATCTTTATAAGAAAGCAAGTCCCCACCCTCCCGATGGTCTTCCAGGCCACTCCACCCCTCTCCAACCTTGGCAGCAAAGCTGAAAGAGGCGGGGAGCTGGCCCTACTTCAGTAAACTTGATGATAAGGGGAGTCAGCACCGCCCTCCTGAAACCACTTCTGTGAAGTTCCCATGTGCGCTTACTAGGATAAACCCAGCAACGAATTATGCCTGCTGTACTCCCTAGCAACCATTCACTTGGTCCGCATGTTCCTGGATTCCTTCCTACCCGCTGGGTACTATGCGTAAATGTTACAGTTCCTTTGCCACTGAGCCCAACACGGATGTGACCACTGTCTACCACCAGAGAGTGAAAGACAAAGTCGCGACTGAAGTGCTTTAAGGCAATAATGCTAAATGTTCCAAACTGGATCTTGTGTTCACACTGGCGTTTTGTCTTCTGGGTTAAAGGAGGCTGTTTTTCAGAATTTACCTGTCTACTCATAATGTATATTTATTGAGATCCCAAAGCATTAAAAAAAATCTACTTTTTTAATTTTTTTTTTACTTTTGAGTTGCTAAGCTCTGAGATCATTTTTTTCTTGATTGTTGAGTTTTGCATCACTAAAGAGAAAAGAGCAAGCTACAGCCGCCACGCCCTGACACACACACATACACACACACACACACACACACACACAGCACAGAGGCTGTAAACAGAAAAGATTTCTATGAAGGATGGAAAATGGCAGGCTAGGATGAGGAAATCATAGTTGTGTTGGTGGTCAGAAAGTCCTCACATGTTGTCGATGTACCTTAAACACCAGGCTGGAAGCCAGAGGAGATCTGGTACACCAGGTTATAGTGTTAGGCAGCAACACAGAATGAAACCTATAAATACGCCCGAGGTGTAGTAGGTCATCTCACCTTGACACAGGAGAGCACTAACAAGGATGTTTGCTGGCTGTGGAGCTCCTGGGGACAGAACCAACTACAGTAGCGGACACAGACACAGAACTTTGGCGCTCAGTGGGAGCTTCTCTCTTAAGTGCATACTCCAAACCCTCGAATTTTCTAATCCACATTCAATAGACACCACACTGCTTGGGTGAATAAATTAAAACCCAAGGAATGTAAAGTCATGTCTCATTTCACGCCCGTGTAAGGAGGAAAATATGTCTGATTTCTCAAGCAATTGGATAATAGAAGTAAACAGAGACTTAAAGGTAAATTATGTGGGCAGTAAGTAGAATTTTTAAAAGGTAGAAGGTCCAAAGAGAAGGAGCCGACCTAGGAAGATGCTAGTAATAATGGTCCATGAGATCCTGAGGCCTTCCATTTCTCAGGGTTAGTCTGTCTACAGAAGAATACAAAGGCTGTGAGAACCACCACAGGGAACAAAAGCACTGTCTCTCCTGGTGTACTGCGAGCTGGCCCTTCCTCAGAACATCTCCCGGGGCCCTGCTCTCTGCTCAGGACCAGACTCAAAGTCTACAGGGATTTTGTTTATTTGTGGTGTTATAGGCTTTCAAATTCCTTGCAATCACTTTACCTCATTGGCAGTTTGAAGAATGACTGTGGAAGGTTTTGTTGGTTTGTTTTTCCACCAAATATCAAGTAGCAGGGATGAGCTATATGATGGATTCCTTGACAGCTTAATACATCATTAGGACAAAGAAATTTCTGAGTCTCTGTGGAGGTGGCAGAAGACCCCCAGCCACCAGCGATGACTTGGTCAGAAGCGCTGAGACTTGCAGCATGGGAGTGTTTGACCAGTTACCCTTGGATGAGAAGCCATGCCATTCCTGGGCTGGCTCGAACTCTCCTTGTTGCTCTCCGTGATACTCTTTAGATGGTTCATTGTGTCTCAGTTCTTTCTCAGTCTTCACTTCTCTCCCTTTTCTTTTTAATCCATCTTCTTCTCCCAGTCCCCATTGTTTCAACAACTGTTTCCCAATATACTGTACTCTCTTGGTCTTTCTTTAGACCTCAACTCAAAATGACCTGTTACCTGCTTTGGCCTGCCTTATAGAAGCAAGCACTATAGGAGAAAACCACAGAAAAGCCCAGAGGGGTGTCACATAGCATCTGCACCAGCGTCAGAGGGACCTTCATTACTGACCATCAACCTGCCTTCCACAGACCTTTGGTTCACGCTCATGACATCTGATGACTATTTCAACATCCTCTGCTTTCTAGAAACCCCAGACTCATCCTTACACTACCCTCTTTCAGACACTGGGTATTCTAGATTTTTTTAGAGAAAACAAAATAGGGGGATTATATCTATCAAATCTATTTTATACAATGTCACCTGGCTTTTCTGTTTTCTCTGTAAGAGTAGTTCGTCCTCAGAAGTCTCGTCTAATCCTCAGTTGCTTCAAATTGCAAAGGAACGTGTGCCAATCTTCCCTCTTCTTTATGGTGCATGCATAAACTTCCTATAAACTGAGTCCACCTACCTCTCAATATGTAAACACATCCAAGCCTCTTCCTCCTATGAAAGGCACCAGAGAGGTTGGCCCTTCTCCAGTGTACGCACCTATAGCCATCACCACTACACCTCTCAAAGGAAGGCTATATTTTCATTGATTTTGTCTTCCTTCCTTTTTGTTTAACTACCAATCCACTCCAGTCAGAACTGGGCTCCAAAATCTCAATACAGATAGAGTCTACTCTAGTCACCAATGACCTCCATGCAGATATGCCGCAACTGTGTCCTCACAGAATCATGGGCTGGTTGATTACTGCTCCCGTCACGGAACCTCCTCAGCCCCATGTTCTGTCGCCCATCTACTATTTCTGGAAGCTGACCTTCCACCATGTGCCTTTTCCTCCAGATTTCTGATCTAATTAGCCCATTACTGTGCTCCTTCCATATCTGTGCTGACCTTTCTTATTTATATAATAGTTTCATTATTTATTTCTATGCTCTGATATAGCCATATTTTCTTACTCTAGAAAATGTATCGGAATTTCTGACCATGCTCTCATTAATGAGGTTCATTAACCAGAGTTCAACCTCCCCTAACTTACTGGATTGTATATTCTGTGAAAACAGTTCACTATTTTTTTTTCTCAATGCCTAAACAACCCAAAGTCCTACTACATGTTTGACAAATTGACATTTGTTTAATTAGTAAGTGGATGAATTAATACTTCACATCATTTGGTTTGGGAACCAGTGAAGAGAGACAGGAAACCCTTAATGACAATCATTTGATTCAACTGCCTTAAGCCCGGTACCTAGGATCATCATGGGAACATAGCAAGTACTCAAAAACAGATCGCTAATTAATGGACAAAATTCAAAATTCACTAACAAAGAGTTTAACTTATTACCTTAATTGACAGAAAAACTTCAAAAAATAATCCTTAGGCCTGTTTAAAATTCCTGAGTAGATAATAAAAATGACAACAAATAACATTTGATGTAAAAACCAATCATTTTTATCCCCATAGTGATGTCCCCAATAGGTAATTGTATAGATTGTCTATCTAGAAAGTCCACCATACTACAGATGATCTTTTTTCCCCATAAATACTTAGAAAGCAGAGAGGAAGGACAACCGTATTCTGTTACTCAGAGCTAAGGCTTATCTAAATTGTTTCTAATAAATACATAGGATATAACATAAAATGTTAAGCAAGAGAGGAATTTTCGGATAGCTGGCTGAAATCCTGTTTTATTCCCCTCTCGGTCTTTAACTAGCTGGGAATGCCCGCCGTGTCAGCCTTTATTTGCCTCAGCAGACAAGCAAAACCCAGGGCAAAGCTGTCCAGTCAAGCAAAAGGATTGTTTCTGTGGAGCTGGTTGTCATACACGTTGTTCAAAGAAAATATACGTACCTGTTCCTCAGTTCAAAGTCCCTTCCCTTGAGCAAGGTTGTTTCAGCAATAAAGGAGACCGTGGACACATGTGGCTTCAACGATTACAAACTGTTAAGTTATGTGCACGGTAAAAATGGTAGGGAGCATAAGGTAGAATCTGTGCAGCTCACAAAAATGGCTCAGAGCCATATTTCAAGAAAGTAAATACTGGAAAAGAACAACTTTGTACACTATTCACCCCAACATAACCGACGCTCTAAGTTTATCTTTCCTGTGGATTTTTTTCTTTACTCTTAGCTACTGTATTTCTGGGCTTTTACATAGTAAGCATGACTATCAGCTGATCCTACACAAACACGCTTATTTGAATTAACATTCAGGTCAAAATTACTTAAAGTTGCTCTGCTTCCTTCAAAGGGAAGCCCAGAGTCTCCTGGGACTCTAACTT